TTGTTTTTCCCTTCCCACTATTCTTTTTAGATATTAGAAAACAGTGAAATTAATGTTATGCTTACTGGATGAAGTTAAACGAGCATTCACACCAGCATTCCTGATTAGCTTTTCCGTAAACTACATTAGGGCTGTGTGATCTCCAGCTCATCTCATATGCAGTACAGACCTCAGTCCTGTCGTCCTCTGGCCAATTAATTTACATCCAATTTATATGCAGAGACCTAGGTGCTAACCATCACACCATAGAACCCAATGTGATACAGTCAATCTGAAGAAAAAAATATTGGCACATAGGAGGAGGCATGTTCTGATGGGAGGCATTGTTAAATGGAACTGTTCATGAATCATCCGAAATGAAACGACTGGCCATCAAGCTCCGTTCGTTTGATGTGGTCAATCCAGCTTCATGGCCATGCATTTTTGCTTATAAAAGCTTGCATTAATTGGTGCTTAGTCGCCTCTTATAGTTTTGTCAATATTGGAGCTCCATTGTCAGTGAATATTCCTCTCAGTTGATCAGCAGCTTAGACACAGAGGCAGGCTAACATTGGAGTGTTATTGAAAAGGTTTGATTTAAAACACAGACAGACGGTCCCAATTAGATCCCTTCCCCTCCCTTGGCGCTAACCTTTCAATGTTTGCAGATTTGTAGGGTGGAAGAAATACTGTGGAATCTTTACCACTACTTATACCTAACCAGACCTTTCAGACATGCTAGTATCGATTTGGAACTGGCTGATAGGCTTCTCCATAGACCATAGTCACAACTACACAGGGTGTAGTGGCTTACTGTGACCACCAGGGAGCACACCTCTCATGCCCTCTCTTGGTCATCATGGAAACCATATACATCCATAGGACAACTTGGTCAGGTGAGGCAGGTGTGAGTGACAACATTACAGTCTCTCTGCTGTGCTATCTCACCTCTGTAAGGCCACAGCCCTCCAGGTATAGATGCACTGGCAAAAGCTTCCCTGTGAGCGAGGGCTCAAACCTGGAACAGGACAGAGAGAGAGAGAGAGGAGAGAGAGAGAGAAGAGAGAGAGAGAATAGAGAGAGAGAGAGAGAGAGAGAGAGAAGAGCGAGAGAGAGAGAGAGAGAGATAGAGAGAGAGAGAGAGGATAGATAGATAGAGAGAGAGAAGTAGAGATCAGAGAGTGTGTTAAGAGGAATTACATATTCACACTTAGTGTCTGCGTGCTATTATAGTTAGATACAAAGTGGATTAACACAGGGGTGGCACTTTTGCAGGGATGCTAAGAATAATCTTGACTATACAGGCAACTCCTGACTCACTATGATTTTACTAAACCTAGTATGTGTAGCCTTTGTAAACCTATATGAGATTAAATACAAAGGTGCCAACATTGGAGTAACAAAAAAAACATAGAAATAATAGGCATTAGTCATTGAATATTGATGTCTATGTCTAGATTATTGTAAAACATATTCTACAATACCCATGAGACATAGGCTATAATGTATTTTTAAGTGGAATCATTGGCCTCAGTGAAGTGATTCAGTTTTATGCACAGGAATTAAAAGAAAACATTGTGAATATTCTGAACTCGATTTTGGCAAAAACCTGAATATTTCAAGAGCATACAGTGAGGGAAAAAAAGATTTGATCCCCTGCTGCTTTTGTATGTTTGCCCACTGACAAAGACATGATCAGTCTATAATTTTAATGGTAGGTTTATTAGAACAGTGAGAGACAAAACAACAACAAAAAAATCCAGAAAAACGCATGTCAAAAATGTTATGAATTGATTTTGAATTGAAATTAGTATTTGACCCCTACAGTGGGGAAAAAAGTATTTAGTCAGCCACCAATTGTGCAAGTTCTCCCACTTAAAAAGATGAGAGAGGCCTGTAATTTTCATCATAGGTACACGTCAACTATGACAGACAAATTTAGGAAAGAAATTCCAGAAAATCACATTGTAGGATTTTTAATGAATTTATTTGCAAATTATGGTGGAAATAAGTATTTGGTCACCTACAAACAAGCAAGATTTCTGGCTCTCACAGACCTGTAACTTCTTCTTTAAGAGGCTCCTCTGTCCTCCACTCGTTACCTGTATTAATGGCACCTGTTTGAACTTGTTATCAATATAAAAGACACCTGTCCACAAGCTCAAACAGTCACACTCCAAACTCCACTATGGATGATCCAGAAGAGGATTGGGAGAATGTCATATGGTCAGATGAAACCAAAATATAACTTTTTGGTAAAAACTCAACTCGTCGTGTTTGGAGGACAAAGAATGCTGAGTTGCATCCAAAGAACACCATACCTACTGTGAAGCATGGGGGTGGAAACATCATGCTTTGGGGCTGTTTTTCTGCAAAGGGACCAGGACGACTGATCTGTGTAAAGGAAAGAATGAATGGGGCCATGTATCGTGAGATTTTGAGTGAAAACCTCCTTCCATCAGCAAGGGCATTGAAGATGAAACGTGGCTGGGTCTTTCAGCATGACAATGATCCCAAACACACTGCCCGGGCAACGAAGGAGTGGCTTCCTAAGAAGCATTTCAAGGTCCTGGAGTGGCTTAGCCAGTCTCCAGATCTCAACCCCATAGAAAATCTTTGGAGGGAGTTGAAAGTCCGTGTTGCCCAGCGACAGCCCCAAAACATCACTGCTCTAGAGGAGATCTGCATGGAGGAATGGGCCAAAATACCAGCAACAGTGTGTGAAAACCTTGTGAAGACTTACAGAAAACGTTTGACCTGTGTCATTGCCAACAAAGGGTATATAACAAAGTATTGAGAAACTTTTGTTATTGACCAAATACTTATTTTCCACCATAATTTGCAAATAAATTCATAAAAAATCCTATAATGTGATTTTCTGGAATTGTTTTTCTCATTTTGTCTGTCATAGTTGACGTGTACCTATGATGAAAATTACAGGCCTCTCTCATCTTTTTAAGTGGGAGAACTTGCACAATTGGTGGCTGACTAAATACTTTTTTTCCCCACTGTATGCAAAACATGACTTAGTACTTGGTGGCAAAACCCTTGTTGGCAATCACAGAGGTCAGACGTTTCTTGTAGTTGGCCACCAGGTTTGCACACATTTTGTCCCACTCCTCTTTGCAGATCTACTCCAAGTCTTTAAGGTTTTGAGGCTGACGTTTGGCAACTCGAATCATCAGCTCCCTCCACAGATTTTCTATGGGATTAAGGTCTGGAGACTGGCTAGGCCACTCCAGGACCTTAATGTGCTTCTTCTTGAGCTACTCCTTTGTTGCCTTGGCTGTGTGTTTTGGATCAGTGTCATGCTGGAATACCCATCCACTACCCATTTTCAATGCCCTGGCTGAGGGAAGGAGGTTCTCACCCAAGATTTGAAGGTACATGGCCCCGTCCATCGTCCCTTTGATGCAGTGAAGTTGTCCTGTCCCCTTAGCAGAAAAACACCCACAAAGCATTATGTTTCCACCTCCATGTTTGACGGTGGGGATGGTGTTCTTGGGGTCATAGGCAGCATTCCTCCTCCTCCAAACACGGCAAGTTGAGTTGATGCCAAAGAGCTCGATTTTGGTCTCATCTGACCACAACACTTTCACCCAGTTCTCCTCTGAATCATTCAGATGGTCATTGGCAAACTTCAGACGGCCCTGTATATGTGCTTTCTTGAGCAGGGGGACCTTGCGGGACGCTGCAGGATTTCAGTCCTTCACGGCGTAGTGTGTTATCAATTGTTTTCTTGGTGACTATGGTCCCAGCTGCCTTGAGATCATTGACAAGATCCTCCCGTGTAGTTCTGGGCTGATTCCTCACCGTTCTCATGATCATTGCAACTCCATGAGCTGAGATCTTGCATGGATCCCCAGGCCGAGGGAGATTGACAGTTATTTTGTGTTTCTTCCATTTGCGAATAATCGCACCAACTGTTGTCACCTTCTCACCAAGCTGCTTGGCGATGGTCTTGTAGCCCATTCCAGCCTTGTGTAGGTCTACAATCTTGTCCCTGAGATCCTTGGAGAGCTCTTTGGTCTTGGCCATGGTGGAGAGTTTGGAATCTGATTGATTGATTGCTTCTGTGGACAGGTGTCTTTTATACAGGTAACAAACTGAGATTAGGAGCACTCCCTTTAAGAGTGTGCTCCTAATCTCAGCTCGTTACCTGTATAAAAGACACCTGGTAGCCAGAAATCTTTCTGATTGAGATGGGGTCAAATACTTATTTCCCTCATTAAAATGCAAATCAATTTATAACATTTTTGACATGCGTTTTTCTGGATTTTTTTGTTTTTATTCTGTCTCTCACTGTTCAAATAAACCTACCATTAAAATTATAGACTGATAATTTCTTTGTCAGTGGGCAAAGGTACAAAATCAGCAGGGGATCAAATACTTTTTTCCCTCACTGTATATGACTGTGAGGGAGTAAGGAGAACTGCCAGGTAAATGGGAAAATATAATTCGTTTAACTTTTCCCTCAGCTCTGTCTGTGGTGACGCCATGCTCTCCAAATATAACTCTGCTCTAGCTCTGCTCCCTGAGGCATGTGCCGTGCAATGTGTAAAGAAACCACATTGTGCCTCGTTTCTATATCATGTCTAAACTCACCTTGGTGTGAAAATAGTTGTACCGTCCTCCTCACCTATGTCAAGAGCAGGCCTAATTCATTACGCTGTGTTTCATTTACACTTCATTTGACTATTTACATGGTGTGTCTGTGTCACATCAATTAGAAAAAGGGGTGTAGTTATGAAAATTACATTCCATATTTGTTTTGGACGGTTTGGGCCGAAAATTTACTCATAATGAGTCACAGAATTGTTCAGAAATTAACAACTCATTAGGGAAATAAACTACCTAAATGTACTGATATGAGTGACAAGTTACTGACAAGTGCGCGCGCTGTGGTAACGTTCCAAATGTGAACAGGAGGGGTTAACCTGCATTACATTTCAAACTGATGACGTTGAAGATGTCTAGAGATTCGCACAGTTGGGACGTCCAATAAAAATGTGGTGTGGTGTGGTGTCTGAAGGTGTGTAAGGCAGGTAGGCAGGCTACAGGCTGTGCTGTGAGCGAACATATCCTACCTACCACACTGTGTCTCATCTCACCAGCCAGGAGCGTAACAGTGTGTGCCTCGCCTCCGTTCTCGGAAAAAAACTCTGTCGAATGTCAGAGAACAGCTGGGAGCTTAACATTTCAAGTCTGGTGGTTTCAAAAGTCTCGTCTCCCTGCTCACAGAGTTACTGTTCTGTTCAGCCAAACGGAACGGTGCGCTTCAACAACTTAACAACTTTTAAAGTGGGGAATAAAGCACTGCAACAGCGTGGAAGGAATTTCTCATAGATGTCCACTCAATTGGAAAGAGGCCTACAGCTAGAGACGACCAAGCTTAATGCGCTGAAACTCGAATTCGATGAGGAGATTGATGTGGAAAGTCTCGACGGATGCCTGCCCGAGGGGCGGCACGGCGGAGCAGAGAAAGGAGCGAAGGTGGCCACGGAGCAGCCTCCGCCACAGCCTCCGCGCAAGATGCTCCGCAGCCCCAAATGCGCCCGCTGTCGGAACCACGGCGTTGTGTCTTGTCTCAAAGGCCACAAGCGCTTCTGTCGCTGGCGTGACTGCCAGTGCGCGAACTGTGTGCTCGTAGTGGAGCGGCAGCGGGTGATGGCTGCGCAAGTCGCCCTGCGGAGACAACAGGCGACAGAGGTGAGCGTCAGGGCCATCCGACTTTTAATGGCAGGATAGAATTTAAGAAAGATAATTATCATATCATGTAGGCCTAAATGCTGTATTCAAATGTTTTGTAATTTGTGTAGGTCCATGATGATGTAATTACAGATTAATACAGGTCAGAAATGATGACTAACCCCTGTACATCATGCACTTGTTCCTTTTTGTCTACATTAGCTTTGGTAGATAATTGTGAAAAATTAAACAGGAGAACAATTAATTGTCCTATTCTATGTAAAAAAAAAAAAAAGCCTATGATTGATATATTCTCTTAGATAGTGTGTGACTAAGCAGATTCAAATGCATTGCTCTTTAACTTTTGTGATAATGAAAACAAAAACATAGGCTGTTTTTGCTTTACATTTCTGGATAGCATAGGTTATGTTTTCCTGTTCTATTTGTTTTATTTATACTGAACAAAAATATAAATGCAACATGTCTGGGTGGCTGGTCTCAGACGATACTGTCTGGGTGGCTGGTCTCAGACGATACTGTCTGGGTGGCTGGTCTCAGACGATACTGTCTGGGTGGCTGGTCCCGATTCTGGGTGGCTGGTCTCAGACGATACTGTCTGGGTGGCTGGTCTCAGACGATACTGTCTGGGTGGCTGGTCTCAGACGATACTGTCTGGGGGGCTGGTCTCAGACGATACGTCTGGGTGGCTGGTCTCAGACGATACTGTCTGGGTGGCTGGTCTCAGACGATACTGTCTGGGTGGCTGGTCTCAGACGAACTGTCTGGGTGGCTGGTCTCAGACGATACTGTCTGGGTGGCTGGTCTCAGACGATACTGTCTGGGTGGCTGGTCTCAGACGATACTGTCTGGGTGGCTGGTCTCAGACGATACTGTCTGGGTGGCTGGTCTCAGACGATACTGTCTGAGGTGGCTGGTCTCAGACGATACTGTCTGGGTGGCTGGTCTCAGACGATACTGTCTGGGTGGCTGGTCTCAGACGATACTGTCTGGGTGGCTGGTCTCAGACGATACTGTCTGGGTGGCTGGTCTCAGACGATACTGTCTGGGTGGCTGGTCTCAGACGATACTGTCTGGGTGGCTGGTCTCAGACGATACTGTCTGGGTGGCTGGTCTCAGACGATACTGTCTGGGTGGCTGGTCTCAGACGATACTGTCTGGGTGGCTGGTCTCAGACGATACTGTCTGGGTGGCTGGTCTCAGACGATACTGTCTGGGTGGCTGGTCTCAGACGATACTGTCTGGGTGGCTGGTCTCAGACGATACTGTCTGGGTGGCTGGTCTCAGACGATACTGTCTGGGTGGCTGGTCTCAGACGATACTGTCTGGGTGGCTGGTCTCAGACGATACTGTCTGGGTGGCTGGTCTCAGACGATACTGTCTGGGTGGCTGGTCTCAGACGATACTGTCTGGGTGGCTGGTCTCAGACGATACTGTCTGGGTGGCTGGTCTCAGACGATACTGTCTGGGTGGCTGGTCTCAGACGATACTGTCTGGGTGGCTGGTCTCAGACGATACTGTCTGGGTGGCTGGTCTCAGACGATACTGTCTGGGTGGCTGGTCTCAGTATTGCCAAATTCTCTAAAATGACGTTGGAGGCGGCTTATGGTAGAGAAATGAATATTCAATTCTCTGGCAACAGCTCTGGTGGACATTCCTGCAGTCAGCATGCCAATTGCACGCTCCCTCAAATCTTGAGACATCTGTGTCATTGTGTTGTGTGACAAAACTGCACATTTTAGAGTGGCCTTTTATTGTCCCTAGCACAAGGTGCACCTGTGTAATGATCATGCTGTTTAATCAGCTTCTTGATATGCCACACCTGTCAGGTGGATGGATTATACTGGCAAAGAAGAAATGCTCACTAACAGGGATGTAAACAAATTTGTGCACACAATTTGAGAGAAACAAGCTTTTTGTGTGTATGGAAACATTTCTGGGATCTTACATTTCAGCTCAAGAAACATGGGACCAACACTTTACATGTTGCGTTTACATTTTTGTTCAGTATAGATTCAGTTATTCCACTCATAAAACTAATTCGTTTACACTCACAAGTGTCTTATCATAGGAATTATAGGCCTTACACCAAGGAAACTAACATGTAATTATTCTGTAACAAACTAGCAACTCCATGCAGTAGCCTACAATACATTACAGAATCTATGACTATACTTACGTACCTGGTTTAATGTAATAACTTATTCCTTTATAATTTCCCCATGCACTTTTTTGTTGTTTCAACTAATTATTATTAAGTAACATACTTTTTTAGTTTACTCAACTTTTTGGTCAAAGTGTTACCCAAACGTACAATTTTTAGTGGCCCAAACTTAGCTCCAATATTGAGAAAAATTGGGCAAAAATTCAGTAAACTTAAAATGATCTGTTTGTTCAACTTGTCTCATACAGTGGGGAGAACAAGTATCTGATACACTGCCGATTTTGCAGGTTTTCCTACTTACAAAGCATGTAGAGGTCTGTAATTTTTATCATAGGTACACTTCAACTGTGAGAGACGGAATCTAAAACAAAAATCCAGAAAATCACATTGTATGATTTTTAAGTAATTAATTTGCATTTTATTGCATGACATAAGTATTTTATCACCTACCAACCAGTAAGAATTCCGGCTCTCACAGACCTGTTAGTTTTTCTTTAAGAAGCCCTCCTGTTCTCCACTCATTACCTGTATTAACTGCACCTGTTTGAACTGGTTACCTGTATAAAAGACACCTGTCCACACACTCAATCAAACAGACTCCAACCTCTCCACAATGGCCAAGACCAGAGAGCTGTGTAAGGACATCAGGGATAAAATTGTAGACCTGCACAAAGCTGGGATGGGCTACAGGACAATAGGCAAGCAGCTTGGTGAGAAGGCAACAACTGTTGGCGCAATTATTAGAAAATGGAAGAAGTTCAAGATGACGGTCAATCACCCTCGGTCTGGGCCTCCATGCAAGATCTCACCTCGTGGGGCATCAATGATCATGAGGAAGGTGAGGGATCAGCCTAGAACTACACGGCAGGACCTGGTCAATGACCTGAAGAGAGCTGGGACCACAGTCTCAAAGAAAACCATTAGTAACACACTACGCCGTCATGGATTAAAATCCTGCAGCGCACGCAAGGTCCCCCTGCTCAAGCCAGCGCATGTCCAGGCCCGTCTGAAGTTTGCCAATGACCATCTGGATGATCCAGAGGAGGAATGGGAGAAGGTCATGTGGTCTGATGAGACAAAAATAGAGCTTTTTGGTCTAAACTCCACTCGCCGTGTTTGGAGGAAGAAGAAGGATGAGTACAACCCCAAGAACACCATCCCAACCGTGAAGCATGGAGGTGGAAACATAATTCTTTGGGGATGCTTTTCTGCAAAGGGGACAGGACGACTGCACCGTATTGAGGGGAGGATGGATGGGGCCATGTATCGCGAGATCTTGGCCAACAACCTCCTTCCCTCAGTAAGAGCATTGAAGATGGGTCGTGGCTGGGTCTTCCAGCATGACAACGACCCGAAACACACAGCCAGGGCAACTAAGGAGTGGCTCCGTAAGAAGCATCTCAAGGTCCTGGAGTGGCCTAGCCAGTCTCCAGACCTGAACCCAATAGAAAATCTTTGGAGGGAGCTGAAAGTCCATATTGCCCAGCGACAGCCCCAAAACCTGAAGGATATGGAGAAGGTCTGTATGGAGGAGTGGGCCAAAATCCCTGCTGCAGTGTGTGCAAACCTGGTCAAGACCTACAGGAAACGTATGATCTCTGTAATTGCAAACAATGGTTTCTGTACCAAATATTAAGTTCTGCTTTTCTGATGTATCAAATACTTATGTCATGCAATAAAATGCAAATGAATTACTTAAAAATCATACAATGTGATTTTCTGGATTTTTGTTTTAGATTCCGTCTCTCACAGTTGAAGTGTACCTATGATAAAAATTACAGACCTCTACATGCTTTGTAAGTAGGAAAACCTGCAAAATCGGCAGTGTATCAAATACTTGTTCTCCCCATTGTATGTTCTTTCAACTAGAAATAATGATGTGGGCATCTTAACTAAAAAGGCTAAGTTTATAGAGACATACCCCAAGAGACATACAGCTGTAATTGCTGCAAAAGGTGGCTCTACAAAGTATTGACTTTGGGGGGGGTGAATAGTTCTGCACGCTCAAGTTTTCTGTTTTTTTGTCTTATTTCTTGTTTGTTTCACAAGAAAAAATATTTTGCATCTTCAAAGTGGTAGGCATGTTGTGTAAATCAAATGATACAACCCCCCCAAAAAATCCATCTTAATTCCAGGTTGTAAGGCAACAAAAAAGGAAAAATGCCAATGGGGGGTGAATACTTTCGCAAGCCACTTTATGTCAACGTGTGTCAGATATGTCAGTTGAAAACATTGTATGTCAAAAGCACCATGTGTGTAACTTGTTCCACAGCCTTTTTTAGTGAAGATGCCCAAATAAGAATTTTAAGAGACAAGTTGGTGATAAGTTTGGGCCAACTAATAAAATTGTAGGTAACACTTTGATCGACAAGTTGAGTAAACGAAAAAACGCTGTGGAACCAGTTAATTCATAATAATTAGTTGAAATAACTAGACATTCTTTTACAGCGTGGGGTTAATGCATATGTAAATATATTTAAATGTATGTTATCTCTCCCCCCGTTCCTCTGCAGGGGAAAAAAGGGGTCAGAGGAGCAGCCGCACCATTACATCGCACAGTGTATCAACGCTACACCAGAGCACCTAGCATCTTAGCCAAGAGTATCTTAGAGGGTATGTATCACCTAGAATTCTAGCTAAGAATATCTTAGCGGGTATGTATCACCTAGAATTCTAGCTAAGAGCATCTTAGAGGGTATGAGTGATACACCAGAGCACCTACAGTGGGGAAAAAAGTATTTAGTCAGCCACCAATTGTGCATGTTCTCCCACTTAAAAAGATGAGAGAGGCCTGTAATTTTCATCATAGGCACACGTCAACTATGACAGACAAATTGAGAAAAAAAATTCCAGAAAATCACATTGTAGGATTTGTAATGAATTTATTTGCAAATTATGGTGGAAAATAAGTATTTGGTCACCTACAAACAAGAAAGATTTCTGGCTCTCACAGACCTGTAACTTCTTATTTAAGAGGCTCCTCTGTCCTCCACTCGTTACCTGTATTAATGGCACCTGTTTGAACTTGTTATCAGTATAAAAGACACCTGTCCACAACCTCAAACAGTCACACTCCAAACTCCACTATGGCCAAGACCAAAGAGCTGTCAAAGGACACAAGAAACAAAATTGTAGACCTGCACCAGGCTGGGAAGACTGAATCTGCAATAGGTAAACAGCTTGGTTTGAAGAAATCAACTGTGGGAGCAATTATTAGGAAATGGAAGACATACAAGACCACTGATAATCTCCCTCGATCTGGGGCTCCACGCAAGATCTCACCCCGTGGGGTCAAAATGATCACAAGAACAGTGAGCAAAAATCCCAGAACCACACGGGGGGACCTAGTGAATGACCTGCAGAGAGCTGGGACCAAAGTAACAAAGCCTACCATCAGTAACACACTACGCCGCCAGGGACTCAAATCCTGCAGTGCCAGACGTGTCCCCCTGCTTAAGCTAGTACATGTCCAGGCCCGTCTGAAGTTTGCTAGAGTGCATTTGGATGATCCAGAAGAGGATTGGGAGAATGTCATATGGTCAGATGAAACCAAAATATAACTTTTGGGTAAAAACTCAACTCGTCGTGTTTGGAGGACAAAGAATGATGAGTTGCATCCAAAGAACACCATACCTACTGTGAAGCGAAGCATGGGGGTGGAAACATCATGCTTTGGGGCTGTTTTTCTGCAAAGGGACCAGGACGACTGATCCGTGTAAAGGAAAGAATGAATGGGGCCATGTATCGTGAGATTTTGAGTGAAAACCTCCTTCCATCAGCAAGGGCGTTGAAGATGAAACGTGGCTGGGTCTTTCAGCATGACAATGATCCCAAACACACCGCCCGGGCAACGAAGGAGTGGCTTCGTAAGAAGCATTTCAAGGTCCTGGAGTGGCCTAGCCAGTGTCATTGCCAACAAAGGGTATATAACAACGTATTGAGAAACTTTTGTTATTGACCAAATACTTATTTTCCACCATAATTTGCGAATAAATTCATAAAAAATCCTACAATGTGATTTTCTGGATTTTTTTCCCTCATTTTGTCTGTTATAGTTGACGTGTACCTATGATGAAAATTACAGGCCTCTCTCATCTTTTTAAGTGGGAGAACTTGCACAATTGGTGGCTGACTAAATACTTTTTTCCCCCACTGTATATACTTTAAGAGTATCTCAGAGAGTATGTATCAGTGACACACCTGGGGTAATACAAATTATGAAAATGAGAGGGTAAGGAATTACACATTGTGTTTACCAGCGAGCGGTTGGGAGGGACAACATTGTTTTGAGGTCATGTTTCTTCTACTTTCCCCTGAGTATGCACATGAACGTGTACACACACTAGGCCATGTAATCACAGCAGTGTTTAGAGCACCTACTTTGCCTTTATGAATTTCAACTTCATTTACCTAAATAAACTTAGTAAATTATATTATATTAAAACAGAATGTGTTCTGAGGTACACTCTGAGAAAAAAAGGTGCTATCTAGAACCAAAAAGGGTTCTTCGGCTGTTCCCCATAGGATAACCCTTTGAAGAACCCCTTTTGGTTCCAGGTAGAACCCTTTTGGTTCTAGGTTGGGTTTCTGTATAACACTTTGTGACATCTGCTTATGTAAAAGGGGCTTTATAAATACATTTGATTGATTGATTGATTGAGGTAGAACCCTTTTGGGTTCCATGTAGAACCCTTTCCACAGAGGGTTCTACATGGAACCCAAAAGAGTTCTACCTGGAACCAAAAAGGGTTCTACATTAACCAAAACAGGTTATCCTATGCTATGGGGACAGCCACATAACCTTTTTGGAACCTTTTTCTAAGAGTGTTTAATTAATCATTAGACAGGTAAATGACATCAGTCTTGTTTATTTCCCTATAGGCTACAAACCCCCAGTGAATGAGGACGGACCCTGGTCCAAGCGAGGTCACTTCTCCTCGGTCAGTGCCCGGATGAGGAAGAGGAGGGCATTTGCTGATAAGGAGCTGGAGAGTGTAATGCTGGAGAGGGAGCTGAGACAGAGAGAGCTGGAGGACCTATCAGGTCTCACCCTGCTTCACCACCCTGCCCTGGCAGGGCTGCCCTCCTCCTCCCACCACTGCTGCCCACTGAAGGACCCCGGGGCGGCCACCTACATGCCTGTGTACAAATACAAACCAGGGCCCTGTGTTGTATGAGTGTGACTTCCATTGCTACCACGAAGAGCTCAAGGTCCGATCTACAGCAGAGAGCGGTTATGGTTACGGTCAGTTCATGTCACAGTGTAACTCTAACTCCGTAATTCTGGAACACATGGAGCGAGCCAGGGAGAGAGCACTGGAGAGCTGGGAGTGTTCTGGGAAGAAGGAGAGCTGTCAAGAGCCGTTACTCCAGCCCTCACTACAACTCCAACAGAGCGGGAGTAGTTATTCTGAAGGCTCAGCTGATCTGGACAGGGATAAGGCCACGCCAAAAAGGCTAAAAGATGATCCAACGGCTCCAACAGCTCCAAAGTTTGGCATGCCAAAAACAGCCCTCACACACTCTGACTCTCCCTCTGAGCCTAAGCATGTGTTTCAGAGAGAGGAACAACCCTACAGGCACAGCAGGTTCCCAGAACCTCACCTCCTCCCACCCAAGGACTGGTCAGCAGGGGGGACTAGGCATCATGACAGACCTCAGATCAACTTAGTGAAACCCACAGTGGTGAGGCAGCCATTACCGTTCTCAGTGGAGTCATTGCTGAGGGCTTGAAGAACTCTTGGTAATAATCGTTAGCTAGTAAGAAATAGAGGTGTCTATGCTATATCTAAAACAGTGGAATGTAAGTGTTAAAAATATTTTGGTAGCACTTTACTGTAGGTGTCCCAATATATTTATTTTGCTTATCATGTCCAGAAGTGCATTTTCTATAACAACACTGGTTAGTGTAAAATGTGTAACTAGTGGAATATTTATACCCAAATCTATTTTGAAATGTTATATATTTGTTAGTTAGTTTTATACATTTGCTCAGCATTTTTCAAAGGATTGCAAAATATTGTGTTTTGAAAGCAATAAACGAGATATGTCTATACAATGTAACATGTTGTATAATCTCCAGTTTGTATTCCCATATTATTGTCTGCACAATTGTTGTAAATATTTTATTTTTATTTTGCTAACCGCAAATTTCCTTTAACTTAAAAAAACACTTTCATGTGTCATATTCATTCATTGGTATACTGATGCATGTGCTATACTCCCTTGGCTAAAGCAACTGTAAAATAAGACCAACACTCTCACATTTAAATCATTCAGAAGATACTTTTAGAATGTTTTCACACATTAAAGTTCTTTGAAAAGGGGAAAGTAGAGAGGTCAGTGACTGAACTGCTGCACGGTGCTTTTGGTATATCCCCGATCACAGTATCCACACTGCCGGCTCCTGTCCTCCCTTGCTGTCAAAATAAACTCTGTGGTGTTCAAAAATCCCTTTAATTCTAAAGAAAATTAACAAAGAAAATAGTACACGGGTAGGCTGGTGGCCGGCAGCTCTCAGAAGAGAGAGAGAGAGAGAGAGAGGGAGAGAGAGAGAGAGAGAGAGAGAGAGAGAGAGAGAGAGAGAGAGAGAGAGAGAGAGAGAGAGAGAGAGAGAGAGAGAGAGAACATTAGAGTACATAGGATTACACGGGTAGGCTGGTGGCGGCAGCTCTCAGAGAGAGAGAGAGAGAGCGAGAGAACATTAGAGTACATAGGAGTACACAGGTAGGCTGGTGGCCTGCAGCTCTCTGTGAGAGAGAGAACATTAGAGACCAAAGAGAAACACCTCCAAGCCTGTTGAACACTTTCATAGTGCTCTCTAATACATGCCATCAAATATATAAATACCAAAGAATGGCATCACACACACAAATGCACAAGAATGGCATCACAAACCGACACGCACACACACGCACGCACACACACACACACACAGTCTTGTACAATTAACCTTGTGGGGACACACAATTCAGTCCCATTCAAAATCCTATTCTAAACCCCCTAGAAATAGCATTTGACCTTGTGGGGGACTGACAAAATGTCCCCAGTTGGTCAAATTTTGTTCATTTACACGTCCACTCACACACACACACGTTCCCTTTCTTTAGTCAGACAGAACCAGGATGGGTAATATGCTAGCCTCTACAGGGGAGGGGCTGGTGCCAGGCCAGCGTTACCTAGGCAACATTGTTCTTTATTGTAGGCCAAGCTTGACTCTACTGGAGTTTGTTTGAACCCGCAGTTGATCTGTATCCTCCACTGGCTTTTCTTCTTTCTCTCTCTCTCTTATCCTCTGTTGTAATCTGGGCGAGAAGAAAGACAGATCGTTTTGACAACTGTGGACTGTGTGGCGTCAACACGGATGATAGCACACTGCTCCTGTCTTTGTCCGGAATGCAGAAAGATAGGCCTTTCTCTCTCTTTTCACTCTCAGGTCTTTCATAGATAGTAGACTGAAAAGAAGAGAGGAGGTGGGCCTGCCAGTACCAACAACAAACAGAACAGAAGAACATGTGTCTGTGTCTTTATTGAAGTCTATCAACGTGGATTTTTGTCATATTAAGATGTGAAGGGCAGAAATGACCATTCTCACTGGGGTAGACAAGCACCCCTCACTGAGATAATGACTCTTGTGAAGAATAATACATATAAATAAATTTTTTCCTCTCACAAAGCGGAGGGAAAGACCCATTCATCCATTGGCACATTCCATTTTGGGGCTTCTTTAGAACACTTCTGTGGGCTTAATAGATTGTGACATCACTCAGAATGCTAGTCGTGTCCCATTTGTCATTAGGATTGTGTGGGACAGAAAGATTAGCTGTTTTGTTCCCTAGCTGTCTGTCTGCTCTTTGGAAAGGTCTGAATCGGCTTCCTATCACCAGTTTATTAAAATGTTTCTTTGTTGGGAAAACCCCAAGGGGGATGGGGGAGTGTGTCTGTCTGTGTGTGAGTGTGTATGTGTGCGTGTGCGTGTGCGTCTGTGTGTGTGCCCAATGCGGACAGTATTGGACGTGCGAGTAACTGACATAGCAGTTAGCTGCTGGTTTTAACACGTTGTGAGATTTATATCAGCTCTACAAAACAGCTTTAACCCCCAGCCTCTTGTCACACAGCTTTTGGCTGCTTTGCCATTCTCTCTGCCCGCTTATACCTCATTTCCATTTCAGCCATATTCATTTCACAGGTGGTTTTAAAAAGCTTGCTTTGGCCCTTAAACTCTGCTTCCTTTAGTAAACACACCGCTGCTTGGCTTATTGCAGAACTTGACCGACCTGTTATTTCAAATACAGACCAAGCCTCTCTCCAACCCCAACCTCGACAGGTTTATTTACCCTGCTGGCCTAGCGCTGTGCCTAGTGTGAACACCATGTTAGTGTAGCCTAATGTAGATATCAGCGTCTGAGCGCCCCACACAGGGCATCAGCACCTTTAGTATAAGGGCCCACAGGGAGGCTCTTTGATCTGGCTGCCAGGATACAGCTCCTCAGGATACAGCTCCAGCCCTCACCCTGCACTGTTCCCCAACCCTCGCCCTGTTCCCCGGCCCTCGCCCTGCCCTGTTCCCCGGCCCTCGCCCTGCCCTGTTCCCCGGCCCTCGCCCTGCCCTGTTTCCCGGCCCTCACCCTGCCCTGTTCCCCGGCCCTCGCCCTGCCCTGTTCCCCGGCCCTCGCCCTGCCCTGTTTCCCGGCCCTCACCCTGCCCTGTTCCCCAGCCCTCGCCCTGCCCTGTTCCTCGGCCCTCGCCCTGCCCTGTTCCCCAGCCCTCACCCTGCCCTGTTCCCCGGCCCTCACCCTACCCTGCTCCCCGGCCCTCACCCTGCCCTGCTCCCCGGCCCTCGCCCTGCCCTGTTCCTCCGGCCTTCGCCATGCCCTGTTCCCTGGCCCTCACCCTGCCCTGTTCCCCGGCCCTCACCCTGCCCTGTTCCCCGGCCCTCACCCTGCCCTGTTCCCCAGCCCTCGACCTGCCCTGTTCCCCAGCCCTCACTCTGCCCTGTTCCCCGGCCCTCACCCTGCCCTGTTCCCCAACCATCACCCTGCCCTGTTCCCGGCCCTCACCCTGCCCTGTTCTCCAGCCCTAGCCCTGCCCTGTTCCCCAGCCCTCGCCCTGCCCTGTTCTGCACCCTGCCCTGTTCTGGAGAGTTATGCAGGCTCACACCCCAGAAGGTGAAAGGGCATCAGAAACGTTTAGTTGTATGGTGTCACCTGCCTCAGACTACAGCACAGCCAGCAAAACAGATGGTACTTCAATAGAATAGAATACAATACACACAGAACTTCTTGTCAACATTGTCACATACGACACAGTATAGTATTTCCAATCTGGAATAACACAGCAACAGAAACGAAGTCGGTCAGTAACCAAACAGTGTAACAGATACTGAAACTACAGCAAAATAGTCACTCTATTTCTCAGGAATATTATTTGTTCCTCCAAACTTTGCAGGAGCAGGACCTTCACAAAGAACAAGCCTGTGGTCTCGACTTTGAGCCTCTCCTAATATACAACATTTGGGTTTGGGCTAACCACCCCACATAACACTTACAGAAGCTCAAACACGAGACTTAGTAATAGACAGGCTGTGTAACTGAGACAGCCACTGTGGAATAGACATTTTACAGCTTTAGAAACATCTTTGAAACAGGCCGTATAGAGTTCTCTCCCTCTCTCTCCCCACATCCATCTCCCTGGTCGGGGATTTTCTATCCACTTGGGTTGTGTGTGGAACTCCCCTTTCCTGCCACTGTCTTCTCAGGCCAAGTGAACAGCTAACAGCCTCTGGTGCCCACAGTTGCAGCTGTACAGCGATACTGTTACTGTCACATGGGCTGGCTTGGCCGCTGGAACCCTACCTCTAAAATATTAGAAACCAAACAACCACAACCTCTCCCCTGTCAGCCTGCCTCTCTCAGCCCCTCTCCGCCTCATAGGCCAATAGGGCCAAGGGCTGTGAGCTGCTGCTGGGGCATGAGCAGTAATGAAAATAAAAATGATGATTATGGTGATGATGATGATGATGATGATGCATTGTCAATTGGAGACAATGACCTTCACCTTCATCTCATGTCACAATAAGGTTAAAGCACCGCTACATCACCAGAGACAGTGACAGCCACTTGTGACTCAAGGGCGTTTCTTTTGCATTTAATTATAAATTGGTTACTGCAACGAATAGGTGAGAGGATATTCCTGCCTCATCCCCTCCATGCTGTGCTCTGGATCCAACTTTAACCTTCATAGCCCACCCCAGCCTCAACATTCACCCCTTCACCCTTCATATCATATCAGGGCCAAGGCATGCCAGCCAGGGTGGTTCAGGAACTTTATGGACCATGGGTGGCAGCAATAACAGCACTGAAAATAGCCCTGGTCCTCCACCCTGTGAACCATTAGCGCGATATTTACCCAGCCTAGTTCTTATTCTACCCCAGAGTAACCCACACCAACAACATGCCTTACGTAGTCCCAGTCCTGGTAAGGCGACCCACCACAATGTTATTTGTGTGTCCGTCTGTAAAGCCCCTATGCTAACTTATTGGCACCCTCTTAAAAATGATTGATTTCCGTGGGGGCAAAGCTCATAAAAGGGGAAAAGTGGGGGGTTATTGACATTTAAACTATGTTTTTGAATGCGGGTTACGAGGACCTTGAGGTGAATAATAGCTGGCAGAGCCAGAGAGTTTGCTGGGGAAGTGCGGGTGGTACGAAAATTGATGGAAATAGTGTGCAGG